AAAAAAAAAAAAAAAAAAAAAAAAAAAAAACATACATCTGCAAAATGGTATAGGACAACATCTGAGGGGCTCAAGGTTGGGGCATCGCCAGGTAGCGCTCTGAGGAAGGACTAAACATAAACAACCAGAGATAGAGGCTACCGTAGATATTATAAGGTCGTTTTTTCTCATCCACTTGTGATGAACATAAAAAGGGCCGAAACTGTTGCAAGGAGAGCGATTGTACTCACAGTTGGGTAACACTACCGGGGTGGTGTGCTTCCCCCAGCAATGTGCCAAAGCAGCAAAAAAAGTGTTTTCCATGAATTCCTCTTTTTTTTTTTTTTTTTTTAACAGATTTAATAACACTGTTACATTGCCCGTCCATCATTTCTCTGCATCAGTGAAGAGTCCAGGGTTACCAACTCGTTAACTTAATTTACATAACTCATTAATTCGTATTTGGTTCTATGGAAAGTTTCGCTGCACCAGTCAACGCTTACGTTATATGCGCTTAAGCACACACATAATTGCATATGTGGTATTTAGTCTAACCGTTATAGGTGTAGCTACTCCGGTACTCTCAGATGGAAAAGGCCGCGCTTTGTAAACATCCTCGTGAGTTGTCACGTAAAACAGCAGATACAACTAAGCTTGCACATTTGTGCCCGTTGCTGGGGTGTGGATCATTCACATCTTCCTCCATATTGCAATTGTGCACGCGAAGCAGCGTGCATATAATGTAGTTTTTTTTTTTTTTTAAGTCGACGTGGTTGAGAAGTGAGTCCACTATTTCATAATTGTTTATGCTTCATTTTATATATTCTTTTTATACCATTTTAATCGGCCGGGGTCTCCCTCCAGCAGTTGCGCGTCCTCAATTTAACTTTTGCCTTCGCGCGCTGAGGTTGTTAGGGTGGCCGTACATACGTGGCCTCTTCCCCACGGCTATGGCTGGAGGTGCTTTTTCTCTTGCCACGGCCACAGAAGCAACGGCAGCGGGAGCAGCCGGAGAGCAGGTGTATATCCTCACATCTCGGGTGTAAAAAAAAAAAAAAAAAAAAAGAAAAAAAGAAACGGCAAGTCCTTGTAAGCACACACTTCGCTCGCATATACAGCCTTTCACATATGAGTAGAAGCGGACCAGAATTATAAGTTCATCTTTTTATAGATACAATATGACACCCTTCCACTTTGATAAATTTTGCACTTTTCTTATTTCTATTTTTATTTGTTTTCCCGTTCTAGTGCCTTTCGAATAAATTATTTATTTTTTTTTTTTTTAAATCACTCATATAGGAGACTAATTGTTTTAACTCCACAGAGAAAACAGTTTCTTACATTACGCCTCTTTTAAACGTACATGATAATGTTGTTGATGTGCATCACGTATGCAGGGTTATAGTGTTCACATGCTTTTGTCCTTATCATTTAAAAAACATAAAGAAAAACAGAAACGAACGTATTAAAAGAGAGAAAGACTTGACTCTTCCATATGTACAAAAGTTACATTTGTATATTTATATATATTTTTTTTTTGGGGGGGCGGTGCATACGTGAACGTGTGAACATAATTATTTCCAACTTAGCTCTCCAGAGAACACGAAGCAAAAACGTGTTCGCGCATTTTTTTCTGAATTATCCATATGTGCCTCTTACACTTGTAAAGTATAATTGCGACATGGGAATCATATGTAAATACATTGTCATATTTATTTATGCGCGATAGGCAGTGATATTTCATCACAGCTTTAGCTTTTTCATTGCATAGCTCACTTGATTCTCACATCCACCACTGGTGTTTTATTTTGTCAGGCATCGCTCTGCTTTGCACATGCCTTTTGGGGGGTCTCATTTAACATTGGGCGCTCCAGTTTGCACATGCATAAGACCAGGTAGGCATATTTTATACCTACGGACTCGGTGGACGCATGAAAGGAGGCACATGGCGTGATGTGACAAAGGCCCCTTCTCCCTCACACATTTATATTATTTATTTTGCATACACATGCCTCTTTTATTTTTTCCATAATTGTTTTAAAACGCGAAGGATACTAACCAATAGTATACACCTGTTTTTACGCGAATCTTTTCCAAGCACCTTTTTTTTTATGCACAACAAATCAATTATCAAGTTTGTTAACCGGCTAGTTAACCAATTAGTTCACCACTTAATTTTTTTTTTTTTTTTTTTTTTTTTTTTTCCTTTGAACATTTTCTCGTTTTCTCTTTCTCATAATTGTACATTTTTTTAGTTATGATTTTTTTTTCCCCCTCCTTTTTATAAAGCCACGGCGTGATACGCATATTTATACAATTTTAGAGTGCGGACTCGGTTCCCAACTCCTATCATAATTATCCCCATGGGAGGAAAAGAAGTGTTAAACGTTTTCTTTGCGTCTATTATGCGTCTGCGGTGCTAGGCCCGCGTTGCGTCCACACTGCGTCAGTTTTCTGCCCTATTTTAAGCCCATTTTTCTGGCCCCAACTGAGCAATTTTTTTTCCCCATCTAAGTAACTTGTTTCCCCATCCTAAGTCCATTTTTCGTCGTTTTTGCCCTCCTTGCAAATTATATATAATCTAGGTGCAATGGTTTCTGCCTTTATTCATGAAGACAGCCCATGCCCACGGCGCTTGAAATATCAGTAAAAAAAGTACGTGGCGGAGATCGTCCTGTTTTTTTTTTTAATTTATCCACCCAGGTGTTTTTATTGCATTTTTTTTTATGAATTTTTTCACTTGGAATTTATGCATTTTTCCTCATCTGTTTTTTTTTTTTTTTCTGCTTTCGAATTCTTTTCTTAAATTATTTAGTTGCCATTTTTTTTTTTTTTCTTTTTATCTTGCATATTTTCATATGTTCCTTCGTGCATATTTTGTTTCATTTACCCTCCCCCTTTGTTTTGCTCTTTATTCTTATCTCCCATTTTTTGCTCTTCATCCTTATTTTCCCATTTTCTGTTCATTCCCGTATCTTCCTCGTTCTTTTCTCCCGTCCCCTTACATTCTCTTTTTTTTTTTTTGCGTCCCCCCATCTCCTCCACCCCATTTCTTTTTCACCCCTTTTGTGTCCCATATTTTTTTCAAGATGAACACCCGTGCGTCTGTCCTTTATTTTTAATAGAAAGAGGGAAAAAAAAAAAAAAAAAACCAAGGAATAATTTTTTTTCTCATTTTTAATTAGCCATTTCATTACCTTTTTAACATTCGCCCATTCGGATTGTCAGTCTTTTTGATACTCCGCTATGTAGTTATTTTCTTCCTCTCCTTTTTCGTCTTCTCGTAGTCACATGGTCTCATCACATTATCCCATCAATTTTTTCCCCTATTTTTTGTACATTTGGTCTATTTGGCCAATCATTAATCTTCTTTTTTTTTTTGTCCCAAATTTATACTTCAATTTTGTTTCTACTCATTCGCGTCCATATAATCAATCCCACCCTTTTTGTTTTGTTTGTGCGCCCCTCTATTCCTTGTCCGCGCCGAGATTCCGACCCTATAATATATATAATGGTATTGTATATTTCCTCAAGGGGTAATCAAATAAATGACTACATTATAACTAGATCAGTAAGTTCCAACAGAGATTACGTCAACGGTGTCAAAAAGGACGATCCGAAGTATAGAAGTGAAGGCAACGGTTACGATATTCGTAACGGTCTGGAAGTCTGTAACGGAGTGGATCTTGAGACTGAAACAAATCCTAATAGCGGCATCCTCACTAACAAAGGCATCTCCCCCACAGGGAATTGCATCGACACTGGGAAAAACCAAAGAGACATCGAGCGCCACTTTTTTAATCTTAAATATGATATAAATAACTCGGTTGACTTTGGTTTGTACATAAAATTAAAAGACATTAACAGCTTGTCAAACGACAACATCCACGAAATTAATGAACTGCTAAAGAAGGAGAAACAGAAGGATATTGAAAAAGAGAGAGAAAGGCGATCCAGTGCTGATTCCAAGGATTCAAATTACAACAACAAACAGGAGTACCACGAGACACATAGCGAGAAGGAAGAGGCACAGCAGCAACAACACCAGACAAAACCATCTGCTGTATCGGAGGAGTTGCTACTTCAATATCATCGCGATCTCCAACAGCAACACCAGAAACGGAAGGAAAAGAGACAGATACGACTGCAACGACAGCAGACAGGGGAGGACGATCAGGAGGAATCCATTTACGTGAGGAAGTACAATAAAAGAAGGGAAAAAAAAATCGAACCCGAGACGCAGTGGAGCGACTCACGCGCGGGGAGTAACGATCAATGTGGTAATAGCGCCATATCGGAAAGTAGTGGCGTGCGCGACAACAACAGCGTAATTGAAGATAGTAACCTGCGTGGTAGTAGCGGCCAACGTGAAAGCTGCAACCCACGTGAGAACATTGGGCTGCGGCACAGCTCATGCATGCGGAACATCGATTACAGCCTTTGGAACAGAACAGGAGAGCGCACCCTAAATCAAGCGCTGATACAAACAGAAGTTACAACTGAAAAGGAAAAGAGAAAATACAACAAAATGAATAACAACACCGACGTTCTTGTTAATACCGGAAGTAATAACACCTGTGGAGTTAGAAGTGGAGGAAACATTAGGGGGGCTGGGAGCATGCGAGGCAGCAGCGGGAGAGGTGGTGGCATGAGGGGAAGCGGCATGCGAGGAAGTGGAGTCAGAGGTGGCGGAATTAGAAGTAGTAGTATCCGAGGCAACGGCGTCAGGAGTAGTAGCATCAGAAGTAATAACGGAAGAATTGGTGGAATCAAAAACGGAAATAATGCCAACCACAAAGGTAACAACAATGAGTACTACTCCAGTTACAACTACGGATATGCTTATGAGGATGGCAGACAACAAAGTGAACTCCTAATTGGAGAAGAAAATGCCAACATGAAAAAACAATACAACAATGTAATTAACGAATTTGATCACATCGAAATTGTAAATAACATGTCTGATGATGAGAAGAACGAACAAATAGAGGAACAGATAAAAGAACTGGAGCAGATGGACGTTTTAGAAAGGCGCAGGGACGCCAGGCCAAATGATGGTTCCTTAGAATCAGTGGAGAACGATGAAGAGAAATTTAAAAATATCGAAGGAGATGATGGAGCCGAATCAGTAACAATGTCGCAAACAGGAGGAGTCGTCGATAGAGCACGCTTAACTAATCCTGAAAGCCACTCCTACGATCAGTATACCCAACACAGTATGCTCAAACATGTGAATGGGAACCACCATCACATGAATCAAGACATCATCCAAGACCGCATGGAAGTAATAAACGAATTAAGCACATCAAAGTTGTGCCAAGCCAATTCGGAAAATGCCAATGGGGAGGATCCCAAACGATTTGACGACGACAATACATTCAAAATGGCGTACGAATGTAATAACGGCATTGGTAATGACGATATGGGTAATAATGGGCATATAAGTAACGACGCCAATGTTAACAATGCTTACAACCATACCCCCAACGATACGACCAACGTTAAGGGAGGAAGGATGCTAAGAAATCTCCACAAGAACAATCTTCATGTTGATCACAGACAAGGAGTTCACAGGGTGTCCAAGAAATACGGCGCTGAAATGGATGGAGCAAATAATGTGGTAGTACATCGAAAGAGGAGGAGAAAAAATTTGGACGACAGCAGCAGGTATGTAGAAAATGAAGGCATTAACGGAATGATCTCGGGGGATACAGACAGGTATTCCTTCACCAATGTTAAATCTGAGAGCGCTCACTTAGGAATGACCCCCCATAATGACTTTGCAAGTGCTGAGGCGAAGCATATTAATAATGATTTTGGTATGTCTCGTAATGAGTGCAATGGGGGAATTAAGCAGGATGAAGGTGACAACGAGGAGCAACACTCTACGAATAGGTTTGGTGTTAACAGGTTTGAGAGAATTAACGATCACAGCAGCCGTAGGGGACGTGCTGCCTACATGGCGAGAAATGGTTTCACGGGTGTAAGTAACTTCAGAGGGCACTCCCCTTCAATGGCAGATGGAAACTGCAAGCCCGAAGAGCGAAATTCAAAAAGACGCGAACGTTACAATGCACAAAATAACAACGAGTATGAAACGTACTATGACAATGACACTGGAGAAAATAACCACAAAAGAGCAGCACAAGGAATGGTGGGTAACAACCTGGACGAGGCAGACGATGAGATAAATGGCTTGAACAACTCCACTCTCCAGTCAAAAGTATGTGCAAAACCAGGTGAAGCACCGTCATTTGGACATGCAAGAGGTGGAATTAAAATGAAGGTCCATCGAAATAAGAAAAAAGGAAGAGCATTCCATAGGATGCATGCAAATATGAATATCATAAAAGGCATGAACAAAAATAGCGAATCGAAATTTGGTCATTCAACAAATGCAACTATGCGCCACTCACAAAATCTGGAGAAGAAAGAGTTTTACAGAAATGAGCACAATCTGGAGCATGTAGTCCATGACAAAGTAAGGGGTTCGCCGGGTTCGCACTTCAATGGGCACAGTAATGCGAAGGACGACTATGCAGACAGCAACGACAATGACTACATGAATAACGAGAGCAGCTCCCACAACTACGGGGGTCGATACAATGATGATGATTACTACGATGACAACGACGGTGGTAAGTTTATGTGAGAGAAGAAGCGGGTCTGGCCGCTCATCCATGATTTGCTGAGTAAAATGCGAACAAGAGAAAATTGTTTGTTTCCACATATTTTTTCATATTTTCCCATTTCCCCCCCCTATCAGAGCACAAGAAGCGGAAAAAGCGAGTTACGGAGGAAGGCTCCAAGGAGAGCAGCAAAATCAACGTAGGGAACAAATACCAAGTGCCCAAGCTGCCGAACTTCTTTCTGTGCCGCTCAGAACTAATGTACAGAAACTACGAAGCGGTGGAGGAAACAAATAACGATCAAGTTTGTCTGACATGTTCAGGCCTTCCTTGCCATTGCCGAGTAGGAGAAGCCACGTTAGTATATTCACCATTAATGCTAGAAAGGGTACGAGATAAATGTATGAAAAATAGAGGCTACCACAAATGCGTAAAAAATGAAATCGAGTTATCTGCATATGTTCAAGAGTGTGCAAAAAGCTGGAAGTCAAATATAGACGACTGGGTCCCTTTTTCACCTGAGTATGCATATAAATTATTGCATTATGCAAATTACGATCCACATAAAGCTATCAGCATTATGAAGTCCTCGGAGTTTTCTTTTCGAAAAATTATGGACCCTCCGACGAGGAAATATCAGAACAAATGGAAGCCAAAGGATAAGCGGGAGCATATTTCCAAGAACCCCTTCCCGTCTCCCCTAACCATACGGACTTACCTCTCCAAGAGGCACCACATTAGTGGCTACCACTTGAGATAACACTATTGGCATTGCGCCGTCCTTGGTCATGGTACACACCTCTATGTACTTCACGCGGTGCTAGTATGTTACTAATGTGTGCGGAACACATGTGGCTGTGTCTCATCCCCTCCCTACATGTGTGATGACAAATGGAAGCAAATTTTCCCTTTTTCTGTTTCTGAGTTTACATTTCCACACCGCTTTAAAGAGAGATGATGTTACAAGTGGACAAGACAAATGTATGAATAAATGAGTGGAATATTTTGCCATCTCAAATGTGACTCTGTCGCGTTTTTGTGCGCGTGTATATATATTATGTGAGTGAAGGGGTGCTGTAGAGGAGACTGTGCCTCCGAGACTAACCGATCTTATAAGGCAGTTCCGCCTATCGTTTACTCGTGCACATAAACAGACACAGGAGAGGGCAGTTACGTCATTTGCACAATATCGTCACTTCAACTTTGCGGTGCCTGTGGAAACAGAACGTGCTGTATGTAGGAAAGTGTTTCCCTCTAAAGCCCCCTGCCTACTTGACGCTGGTAACGCCCAAGCGTAGAAGAACAAAATAGGATCCATTTGGGAAGTGGGTAGGTTGTTCCCCCTTCGTAAGCACATACCCTACTGACATATGCGTACACAGGGCAACATGGTCAAACATGCATCAGTGTACCGAGTTAATTGACCTGTGCTCGTATTCATGTAACATTTTAACAGCTTCATCCTTTTGTCCTTTGCTGGGTTGGTGCATCATTTCGTATCAATAAAACTCCCCTCCTGCGCAACTCCACCTCTCTTTTCTGTTTCATCCTCTTTACCTTGTTTTGTTTTTATTTGATTTTTTAGACTCCTTTTTTTAATTTTCCTACGCTTTTCATTTTTTGGTCGCACCACGTGCACCCGTCCGTGTTGATACGACCCCCCACGCGCAGGCTTACAGGGTTGCATACACGCACGCTGGCGCTAATTTATTTTCCATTCCATGTTAAAATGTTCCAGTGCTCTATCAAATTGTGGCCTTATGGCTTTATTCCATTGTTTTTTTTTTTTTTTTTTTTTGAATAAAAGATTTTTTTCCAAACTTGTCGCGCACGTCTAGGTCAACTACACAAGCGCTCTTTTTTAAGTCTCAACCTTTTGGACATTAAAAATAAAAATAAGTTAAAAAAATAAAAACATGGCGTGGCGCACCCTAACAAGTGGCGTAAAGAAAGAGGGTATATTTTGTACAGACCATGCGTTAGGAAGCCGTAGTGTTCCAGCTTTTTCACAAGAGGGGGCAACGGCGTGATGGAGCCTCACATAAATGTATGCAAATATACATACATAAATATATGCCTATTTGTACAGTAAAAAGCAAAGTGGAGTACGCTTAAATAAAATCATTAAATGTGTAGAGGGCAGTAGGCTGTTCATCCGCTTGGTGGCATCCATGAGAGCTCGTGGAAAAGGCACTCGCAAGGTAGCTCTGTTCTACAACCTTGCGCAATCGCTTTACTTAGTGCCGCTTCCTTTTTTAACTTTTTCCCGCCTTATCCTTTCACGGTTAAAAATTAAACAAAGGCACTTATGTTATTTCCCCCCCGGAGGAAGAAGTGATACGGGTCCACCTTGCATACTCAGCGATAACGTCGTAGACGTTGCGCACTGCGTTTCAAACGTGGAGTGGAAAACGAAACGGATGTTCAGACCTGTGCATGCTGAAGCAAGCACGTGTGTACAACATTTAAACTGCAGTTGCTGGCGCTTTAAAATTGTTGGCCACTATAAAGGCGGAGGTTTGTTTCTCTGCCGCACAATTTGTTAAAAATAAAAGCACGCAAAAATTAATTAAAAAATGGGAAAAAAAAAAAAAAAAAACAGAGGGACTCAAAAAGAGACACAGAATAATTCGCAGTGTGTGTTCGAGGAACGGTTGGCATGGAGACATGTGTGCCAATGCAAAATGGAGCGTGTAAGTATGGCGGACTCCTTAAAATGGCAAAAGGCAATAAAGGCCATGCATACGTAATACTCCCATTTGGGTGTGCCTACGCGTGCGCATACCTCTCCTTGATCCTCAAACAAGTGTGCACGCCGAAGAAGGGGTGAAAAAACTCCACTCCACTGTAGCATTTTGGACGTTCCAAACTGGTGCGTGCAGTTTTCCTCATAGTGATTGAAGTAGGACCATTAATCCGCTGATAACAGTTAGCTAAACAAACTCTCCCGTTATTGCAAAAAAATATATTTTAGGTATTCATACAATGGGGTTGTGCTCCTCTTCTACAATTTGAGAAAGAATAGGAAAGGATAGTGGGCTGTGTTACTGCGACATCGCTGCTATTCCCTGGACGAAGAGGAAGAAATTAAATATATTTACTCAACCCCCCAACACACATACCCAAACATACAACACCCTTCCTCCATGGTTGGTAGCTACTCGGCCACTTTGTTCAATCCTGTATTTCCATCCCCTTGCAACATTTCGTTGTTTTTAAAATATGACTCTAAGTCGTTGTCTAGTCTCGACTTCACATTGCTCGAGCCCATGTAATTGTCCAATTCGTCATCCTGCGGTGGTGAGGTGGAGGGCGTAAAATTTTAAGGCAGATTTAATTCAAGGGTGGCTTGCAGGACACGTGCGGATACTTCTTGTTCACGACACGGGTACAAAAAAGTGTAACCATAATCGCATTCGCATAAACATTTGAAGTATGTCGACTCGCAGCATGAAAAAAAAAAAAACAAAAGAAAACCACCAACTACTGGCTCTGCTTTATACACTAATCAGCCAACATTTGTACACTTGCCCTCTCGGAAACACGTTCAGTTGCAAACGACGGAATGCTAACCGCTAACGCTAACCGCCACTCTGCACTTACCAGATCCTTGGACGTCAGTTTCCCTATCTTGTCATGCAAATTCTGCGTCTTCTTAAAGAAGTGATTTCTTCTCTTGGTGGTTGTTCGATACTTTGTTGTTCGTCTTTTCCTAAAGTTGTTTACCTTGGTAATTGTAACCAACCCCCCTTTCCCATTGGTAAAAGACCTATCCTGAAACTTCCCTCCTATTCTTTTCTTCCCCTTTGCGTAATACGAGTTTGTTCCTCCTACTCTTCTCGAGTACTTTCTATTCATCATGGATAAATTACTTCGTCCGTAGTGTTTAAAAATGTGTTTCCTCACGTCTACTTTTTTTTTCTGTGGAGTGAATTTAAATATTTTTCCTGTAAATAAAATTTGTGTTGAGAATAATTAGGCGGGTGTGGGAGAGAGTGATTAATCAATCTTCTGGGGGCCAATGCAGGTGCTATTGGACGCACGGTGCGAGCAAAGAATAAAAGATACAAAAATAAAACAAAAAAATAAAACAAAAACACAAAGGGCGAAGTGTGGAGAATGAGGGTAAAACAAAAAAGCCATTTCTTAGGAGCGCGACGTGTGTGCGTGAACATGAGCGAGTGTTTACGCGGGAACATTCGCGCGTACACGTTTATGCAATATGAACAGGTGTAGCTGCAGTGGAGCAGTGCGAAGCGGAGGCTAACATTTTATATTCTGTTCCCATCCTTCTGTCTGCTTTATATATATTTATATATTTTTTCTTCCCCGCTTTAGCACGGCCGCTGCAAACCCAAAGCACCCACACATGTACGTAAATGTACTCATATTGTACATCTCTGTTTTGCGACATAGTTCTACTATTTTTACTGGGGGGTGCCATCACAACAGATTCAACGCGTTACCATGAACAATATGTTGGGCATTATCATCGTCACGCACGGACCGTTGCGCGCAACACCCCCACCTTTCCCTACGTCACAAACGTATTGAATGATGCATATGTGAATGTACGTATATATATATATATATATGTGTGTTAACATTGTATTGCACATAACATGATGCGATTCCTCCGATGGGTTACACTAGCTATCCCGTCATTCTACATGACCGCACGTCCCCTTTGAAATAAAACCCCGAGTTGTCACTTCACCTTGATAAATAAACCATTTGCTCATACGGTGACCCAGCACAACGCAATTTCCCCCTTCTGTCATCATTCCATTTCTCCCCCTTCGCAAATGCATACACGTCAATACAAAGTAAGCCATGCCACCACAATTTGGCAGAAGAAGATCCCCAATTTTGGCGACAAATAATTACAGTGCACGATAAAAAGGGAAGATGACAATGTTGATACAAACTGGTTGGCTCAACCCTGTCTATGTCATCCGGCAAGCATGTATCCCCCTCCACTGGTAAACTAAGCTTTGTTACACACACAACTAGGCGACACCACGATTTGTACACTTGCTGAGGTAGAAGATGTCGTAAGGGGGGTGAAGCCGGTCTCCGGCTGAACTACTCCACACAATAAGCACTTGTAAGTAACTACGCTTCTCTGTAATCCCTTCTGTACTTCAACTTATGTGAAACTATAAAGTGGACATTATTCCATTTTAATTCGCTCCTTAGTTATCTCGGATTGGGTCTACTGAATACAAAATTCCCTTCTGGACACGTCACAAACGGGGGAAGCATATTTAGGGCAAAACACAAATGTCCATATAAAGTATTCACATGTGTATACATAGGTAGGTACAAATAAATAGGTCTATCATTGTAATGATTCTTCTTCTTCCTTAAAAAAAAAACACGCACACCCTTTTTTTCTTCGTTCAACAGCCCACCCCCCTTCATCTTCATGTTCCTCTCCTTCTTCTGTCTCCTCTTTTCTTTACATAACCCCTTGCCATTTCGCCACGGCTTCATCAAGACCAGTTTAAATAGCAACAGTAAGGGTGACCACCCACCACTGTGCTATGTGTGCCTATGCAGCCGACTTGCCTCCCTCGTTTCACGCATTACTGTTTTTGTGGTGCGAACCAACATGCACCAAGTTAGAACGCCCTATTTACTACGCCGCCAGATACAAGTGTATATACTTACGTATACAGACCCATATACGGCTGAATGCTCATACAAATTCAGATAGGGGCTGTGCATGTTTTCAACCCGTTTGACTGTGGTCCTGTGGCCAATCAACCTCCATCGATCACCATCCAGAGTGTCCCTAAGCATCGCTATAATTCATCGTCATCCGCATGCCGCCTTTTCTTTTTTATACGTACGCTTGTGCATGTGTGGGTGCTTTTGTGCGCATACATATATATATATATATATATATATATATGTATGTATGCATGTACATGTGCACGTGGTTCAAACCGCGTCGTTCAACTATGTATTCATTCATTGGTTCATTCATTCACCCGTTCATTAATTTTTTTTCCCGCAACACAATCGTCTCCTCATAAATTGTGAACACAGATGACAAACTTTTATTATGGTCTTATTCACGAAATGGCTTTTTTTTTTTTTTTTAAATTATAATTGCGAGGATGGTATAATTTTGGGGTTCATTCAGGGAATCCGTTCGGTGAGCCCATTTTTTGTGCTCGCATATTCCCTTGTTTGACCCACACCATTTCGCGCAACATTTATATTTGTTTCGTCCCTTTTTCGTTTTTTTTCCTTTTAATCCATTTCACGTCGCTTTTCGTTGCTTTATTATTATTTTTTTTTTCTTTACGCACCTCTACTTGGTTGGTAGGAGAACTTGGAGAATCCCGGTTTTCTCGTTTTTGCAATTTTGGCATCTTTGGTTCTTCCTTGAATTTTGCTTCTCTCCATCTTCGCCATGGTTTCTGGTTTGGGGGATTACACAGCTGTTCAATTAAATATGTATATATGTGTAGTAACTAGGATAGCTGTACTTGCACGCAGTATGCAAATTGCTAATTTGATTTAGCCAATGGCGTGGGAGCTATGGTCGTATGTAAGACAGCTTCGGTGACGCTGCTGCGTTTGTATGATGTATCTCCTTTTTTTGGGGAGTTTCCCCACGGACATATTTATATGTTTTGTGTTTGTTTATATGCTGGTTTTTCTGAGTGCTCTCTTCACATGTACGTGTTGGGTTATCCTTCCGTACAACTCGTTTACACGTTTTTAGGTCTACTGTATTGCTTCTTGTTCGTGCGAACTGCGCAATTTTTGCTTTTCTCGCTTCTGAGAGAAGGGGCTGATCTGTTTCCGCTCCACTTGGAGTGCTCGTCTCGTACGCAATGCGACAAATGCGTTTAACCAACTGAATGATAAATTAAATGGGGAGTATATTACTTAGGCGTATTGCAATTTTGCATGCGTCATTGTGTACATTCGCGGGTGCTCGAGTGTGTGCTAAGTATACTTGCACATCAACCAGCACTGCGCGTGTGTTTAAAATATGGCTGCACGGAAAACACGCTTTTCATAAGGTTCGCACTTGAACAAAAGAAAATAGGGGAATAAATAAAACTGCAAAAATACGTTGGTGCCATGAGTATTAAAACGAATCAGTACTGACACTGAGTGGCTGTGAAAATAGCTGCTCTTATTCACGCGTCAAACATTTTAATGCGTGGTGCCTCTTTGTAAAGATGGTGAACATGAACAGGGGACATGTATTTGTGTATATGTCAAATTGAATGGTGCGCGGGGGGCGATTGATAAAAGAAGTCACGATTGAATTGCGTCATATGTCGCAGGTACAGGTAATTTTAATTGTTCCTCTGCTTCGCTTACTTATTTTTTTTCTCTTCTTCTGATTTTCTTCGTTCTTCCTCCACAAATGGTTAACTTCCTTGCCACATAAAACTAACGTACGTAATGATCTTACTTGCGCGCGGGGTACTTCTCTGTCGTGTTTTTGTACACGGGATTATGCTTCTTTGGTGAATGTATAATGTAATGGAATGAGTACATATATATTAAATATATGAGTATAAACAATTCTTCGATTGTTTTTTTTTTTTTCTTTTTGTTTTGTTTTTTCTTGTGTTGCCAAATTATGCGAAAATATTTTAAAAAATATACTCAGCATGGCAATTTTGGCTTTTTGACTTGGGTAATTTTTTTTTTTTTGTTTTGAAAAAGTAATTGCTCTGCTTCGTTATTTAAGTTAATTCAGGCGATCGAATGTTTTGTATTTTTGCTGAGCGAAAGCGAATGTTTTTGCGTGTTTTTTTTTAACCACTCATAATAATGTACGCATACGTTACTGATATATTTTCGCATCCTGTGCGCATATAATATATGCAGTAGTCCGTATTTAACTTTAATGCGCGGCGTGTTCGCGCACCAGGCGTATGTATACATATGCAACATGAGCACGATACTTGCGCCCGGGCACCGCGGCGAGGACGAAAAGATGGGGACGGGGTGGACTTTTCCATCGAGATGCTCATATAAAGTTACCGGCATTTTACGAACGTGCGCGGGGAAAAAACGTCGCGTAATGCCGCAAAAATGGCCGCTTTATTGTAAACCTGCTGCCCCAACATATAATTACGTATTTTATTTACCGCACGTTACACGTGTGCATTCCTTTCGCGCATACGCTTGCACCTGCGCCTCATTCTCGCACAAGCGATTGTACATATTATATGTAATTTATGTATGTATTGTTATATATATATGTAGTTATGTATGAAGGTATCATATGCCTGCATGCCCCTTTTTTGCCCCCCTCAGGAGTTCCCTAAATAGCCATGTTGCAAAAAAAAAAAAAAAAAAAAAAAAAAAAAAAAAAAAAAAA